TAGAAAAATACATTCTATTCAGCTCATGAATAAAGAAACAAAAATCATATATAAAATCGTGCTTGCCGCTAATTTTGAAGTAATGACAGCTTTCAACAGCCCGAAAGAATTGCATCCATTTGACTGAAACTTTTTTCTAATCACAGCTATATAGCTACTCAACGTGTATATGGCAGCGGAGAGTCATAAAATAAATATATTGGTAAGATATGAAATAATTTCTTATTTATGGTCACTATCCATTTTTAATGATATCTAAAAACGTTACAGTACATACTTTGTTCTATTTGTGGCTGAAAAAGAATAAGACTTCTAGTAGTTTGTGTTCGAATACAGTAGGTTTCCATGTGTATGTGAACATCTATGCATTGTACATAGACTATTCTCTATCCAAAGGAAAAAAAATGAATATCCAACTGGAAATATCTGTCTAATTCATTTTATAATCAAATAATACTCAGTGAAAGATTTATTATTATTTTATTAAGTCTATATCTTTTCCATTAAGCGAGTATCATTGTAGCAATTGATAAAAACTTAACATGAATGTTAGTTTTTCTATGGAATTTGTCAATGTAACTGTTTCGAGACGTAAAGCAAGATTTTTTTCGAACAACTTTAATAAATTTCATATTTGCTCGTTTATTTTGGATATGAGTGTGGGTGTTCATGGAGCGTGGATGTGTGGATGTCGGTATCAGTGTGAGTGGATGAGTGTAAGTGTGTATGCAGTGAAAGAAGATTCATATCCACGCCCATCCATTAGTGGTACTGATCCTATTGGCTTTTATTATTGTGAAAGAATGAAAAACGTAATCAATACTCAACAGGAAAAAAACTGCATGATTATTTAATTTCGATAGTCCGGATAAGCAGAATGATCTTGATCGTAGTCAAGCTCACGCATGGCAGCAGCAAATTCTAGAATACCAAATGATTCTTGATTGAGATCTTTAGCTCTATCCATGCTTAGCTTGACAAGTCGATTTTCCGGTATGAGTAAATCATTCTTGTTAAAGGCCATAGAGCATGCATACGATTGCATTTCTGCAGCGGCGCATAGCGTGTATGCATGGTAGTACGCGGCACCAACAGATGGTCCACAAGTGAGCAGGCCATGGTTGCACAAAATCATTGCATTCTTGTCTCCCAAATCACACACGAGCCGTTGTTGCTCATCGTTCGATCTAACAATGCCCTCATAATCATGATAAGCAATCTCTCCAGTTATATGTGCAGTCTGTGTCAGTTCGATCACTCCACTCTTTGTTGCTGAGAGTCCGGCTACAGGCAAGTAATGATTATGAATCACGCAGTGAACGTCCTGACGAGCTCGATGAATGCAAGAATGGATAATAATGCCAGCTTTGTTGAGTCCCATGATGTCACCAACTACACCTGGATGAATTATATTTCCATCATAATCAATTTTCATCAGTGATGACGCAGTAATTTCACAGTAGTTCAGGCCTAAGGGATTGATCAATAAGTGATGTTCGCCATTTGGACCAGCTACATTACAAGTAATATGATTATAGATAGATTCTAACCACCCATTTTTCGCAGCTAATCGATAAGCGGCAGCCAATTCGATTCTTACTTTCTGTTCATCAATACTAAATTCGTGCAAGATAGAACGACTTAAACGTTCACGTAGGTATTGACGAGAATATTTGTAGGAGCCAACTACATAGGTCTTCGGATTGAATACATTTTGAAGATCTTTCAATGTAGCTCGTGATTTTGTGATTGCTTTCCTATCTTTATCACATGCTGTAGCTTCATTTGTGTTATTGTGCAAACCAACATCAAAATGAGTAGCAGAACTGTTTGAAATAGTAAGTTCTTCGGAAAGCATGTTAAATAAAATCAACTATCACAATGTTAAAGATAGGATCGAGAATATAATGGTTATTTGATGATAGTATGCGCCTGTGCGTTGCCTGCAGTAAAGAAGAAAAGAAACAAATCTACCGCTTGTTTGATGCACTGACAGACGAAGAAAAAGAAAAAAGCATCTACATTCTCTCACTGGCAACAAAAAGCAGCGGCCATACTTTATCTCATTGTACATTACCCTTACTTCTTGTTTTCTATCTGATGCGCAATTAAAGAAGCACTCATCTTTCGATACACTTGCTTTGTTTTTTTCTCGTGAAAGATACCTCTAGCCATTATCAAAAAGAATCAAATGTCAATTAATAGATATGTTTCTTCAGCTTAGAATTTATCTACATTTCGAACTATGCCGTTTCTCCCTTGACTGCAACCAATATAAACTCAATAGTATTCATACCCGATGATACTCAACATGATCTAACTTGTAATTTAACTGATCAACATGTTGAAAAATTCAGACTATTCACGATCATCCTACTACATCTGGACCTCTTCTTCTCCCTTCCTCTCACGTATCTGACCTAATCGATTTCTTGTTCAATATTCTTATCGACTCGAAAGGTGAAGGTCGATCGACGATAACAAAAGTCTTGAGAAGTGAAAAATTGGTCACTCATTTGTCTCAAATGAATCTGATAACTCGACAAAAACCAATGAAAAGTAAAATGAGTCTAAGAGATCTAAAAATCATTCTCGAATTATTGGCAATAACAATTGATAAGCATTTGTCATAAAAATGACAAACAAAAAGCACAATTCTCTCATCATACAACATTATCTCAGTTGGAAAAGTGTATCTTCATCCTTGATGATAGTGTTAGATTTTTGTAAACTGGTAAATTCTTGTAACAATTATTTTAAAATTAATTCGTGTCAGGAACTCGAAGTTTTTTCAATTTCGAGAATCTCAATCTTGAAAACAAAAAGTCTGTGTTATTATACGCAGCAATGTTATGAGTTGATCTTGTCTTTTTTTTTCTTTCAATTCCATGAACATTTTCTTAGAAGCAACTCTTTACATTCATATTTAATATCTAATAAATGATAATCTATGACAATTCAAAATTTCTCTAAGAACAAAAAGAGATATATGCAAAAAAAAAGAACAAAATTTTACTTTACTTTTTGTTCTTCTCAAAATTATTTTCGAATAAAAAAATCACATTCGCTTCATAACATTCGTCTAATGAAGCTTCACTTTACTTTCGTAGATACATCAATTAAATTGGGATGCATGATTATCCTTTCTCTTAAAAATATTCTTCTCATGAAACTCAGTATCCCTTCGAAGAATAGTACCATTTAAAAAAAATTCAGATTTTTTCGGTAGTGTCTACCATACTTTGCTTCTTCGAAGTTCAGAAAACGATATTTTTGACTGAAGCAAAAGCACACATACACCTTGCTTTGATCATAATTATCATAAAAAAGTTGTAATTTGAAAAAATGACGCATAGATTTTCCACTTTTGCGATCTTATATCTTCATGAATGAAGTATCTGGAAATTTTCAGACTCAGAAAAATTTTGCTCTACTTATAGAAGTCTATCGACCTTGATAGCTGCATGCATTTTTGATCGATGTCTTCATCAGAACTCTTGCAAAGACGAGGCAGATATACCCTTAAATAAATTTCGATTTTCATAATTTTCCACCTCTAGTTTCGTATACTTTGAAAGATCTAATGAAAAATTTATAACAAAAATAAATCATAAATCAAGTTTCAAATCATTATAAAAATCAATCAATGAAATAATTCATGTTCGAGTACTTGAAAATCCACTTTGAATTGTTCAGGATCTTGCGGAAAATGTTGAGTCATTTTTCGATAAACCATATAAAGTAATATTACAGAACAAAACGAAAATCAAAAAAACATAATGTTTCTGTTTTATAATTAAGGTTACCGCTGAATAATTCAAGAATATTAGCTGAAGGTGTATTATTTGGTTCTGTGGTTAGTGCGTTTTTAAAAATGACTAGTGTACTTAGAAAAAGTTCTTGATATCAATAGATGTTTTTATCTGTAATCCATACAAATTAGAATAAAAATAAAAAGATCATGATTAATTACGATTTACTGCGAATTGTTATTGAGTAAATCATAAACACACTGGTGGCTAATGAAAAACTTCAGTTGAATTCTGATGACTAGATAGAAAATTTCTTTTCAAAAGACAAGGCATATCATACATATCACAAATCATCAATTTCTATAATAATTAGTTGTATATGAAAATAAAATCTAAAATAGAAAAGTTGATTCCAAAACCAAAAAAATACAAATTTCTTTTACATTAGTTTATAATAAATCTAGTAAGCAGAATAAATTTTTAATTGCCAAAAAAAAATTTCATTTCGTTTCAGAATTAAAATGAACTATCTAACACATACAACAAAGAATATTGAATACATATCATCCACTGATGAAAAATATATACATTCTTCGAGTATTGCTCATAAGCATACTTGTGTAATAATGTAATTTTGATGTTAAAATATTATAAACAATATCATATCTGTACTGTTATTCTTACTCTAGCAAAGTCAATAGAATACTTGTTTTAAATTAAAGCTTGAGTTTATTAAGTGATCGATTCACTTCTTAGATGCTGACAGTCAAAGGATAATATTAATTTAGAAGGATATAAATATATATAAACTGCTAGCTAATGTAGCAGAGAGCAGACAAGAGTCGTAAAATGAGGGTGTGGATTTTAATTATCTCTTCATTTACATCCACACACCCACACCTACACCCTTGATCTTAAAGAAACACAATATTCGAAGTCCCATAATGCATACTAATTATGATATTGAATGTCTAGTTGATAATATTATTCGAGAAATACGAACTTGTCGTCGAATCACAACGTAGCAATGTTTGTTTCAGTTCAGTAGTTTATCAATTTATCTGGTGAACGATTTCTCTTTTTTCATGTTTATTTGATCACTGTTGAAATTCTAGGGACTCACTATTTTCTACATTACCATACAGAATCTATGGTAGGTGTAAGTCGCAAAATTAGAATGAAATAGAGTCAATCATATCTAGCTACAATAGTCTATGAAAAGACAATAATGAATAAAAAAAAAACAGATTATTCATCAGCTGTTGATGTTAATGTATCGTCAACTGTGATGCGGGGGTCTGGTGGATGTTGAGGTGGTTTTTCGCCTGGTGGGTACATCTGCATTCCGCCTGTAAGGAAGGAAATTTTGACGAATTTGTTATCGGGTAGAGCGATCTAAAATATTAACATGAAAGAAGTGATTGATACAATATCGAATGGATTTTTTTCTGTACTTTGTAATCATGAATCGTGCCACAGGCTTCGATGTGACGAGCACGTACTGGTTTCAGCTCAAAATTAGCTGGAACTGATGGATACTTTTTCGAACTTCGCTATCAATAGATTTCTTATACTAAAAGAAATTGATGTACCAATAGAGAAAATTCATAAAAGAAAATAAATATATTGATTTACCTTGTTGAACAATTCCATGTCTTTATCTGTTACTGACTTAAAACAAAATCGAGGGTCAGCCATTTTGATTCTTGCTGTTATCGAATACTCTAAATAAATGAATATATGCTGGTATATTTATATAGAACTGAATCAATTCTTCTTGCGTTCTTTCCTTGTATTAATCATGTAGTCGCTGATAAATGTACCGCCTTATGTAAACATAATCAACTATACATATGTACTCAAAATTTCCATCAATGTAACCTTGAAAATCGACATGAGACAATTATTTTACCAATCATGTGCATAAACAAGCACAAAAAATATATTAATTTTGTATTGATCAACACTTTATATCATTAAATTTTTCCTTCTCTACATACCAATCATCGATAAAATGCATTGATTTCGAAGTCCAAAGTTACAAAACATAAAAACTTACAATATCGAAGAGCAAAATATTGAAAGAAAAACATCGACATAGTAAAGTTTGTTGTATTTTCAATTCAAATATATTATGAAAAAATATAAAATAGATACAAAATAATGAATTTTATTTTTATGTTTAACGTCTTTTGTGAGCAAGTGAAATAGTGCTTGTAAGTATTCTTGAATACCAATATCTGCATTAGTGAATGCAATTGAAAGTATTTTAAGGAACGATTCTTCGACCACAGCTTGCGGTGTCCAAAAATTTTGAAGAATTTCCGTTTTTATCTAAACGAAGTTTAGCATTTTATTGTTTTTTTTTGCTCATGGATTCTAGAAACACAACCCTCAAGTTTCCTCTCCAAATATTGACAACATCGGAACACTCCTAGCTCTAAGTCTATGTTGCATGTATATATGCAGATAATAAGAGAAAAAATTCAATGAATAAAAATAGAAACAGTAATCAAGGCTGTGGCCACACAAAGAAAAATAATTATATATATATATATATACATGCAGACAGATTGTTGATTAATAGAGTAAAAGAACAAATAAGAGTTGTGTATGATTTATATTTTTCTTCTACTTCTTGAGTGCTGATGTGTATCTATCGACATAATGTAGTCCAATGTTTCTTTTTTATGTTTTACCACTTCAACATTTTCACTTTCGATGCTTGGTATCCTAACTGTTTCGAAAGGATGAACATTTGGATTCTAGTAAATAGAATATTCACATGCACAATCTAAAACAAGTCTATTAGGGATGGATTTAATACAAATTGCATAGGAATTATAATAAAAATATTTGAATTTTATCAAAAATACTCGTCCTAGTTCTGATGTAGTCTATCGTTTAATTATGTCGCTCGTTGACATCAAATTTTTGATTTAGTTGATAGTTGTAAACATAACATCCACATGAAATCATTCGATCCTTTATCATAACACAATGTCGTTATGCTCTTATCAATTTTATTATAATGTAAACAAAACACAGAAAAAAAACATGCTTTTCTTATATATCAGACGACTTCTTTTTTTTTGTTTTTATTTTTTACATCGCACTAGTCTGCATGTGTTGTTCTAATTTGTTTTTGAGTTTAATAGAATTTTGCTTCATTAGTAATAAATAATAAATGATACATAATCATTCATTCAGCTTATATACGGAAAACAAATAATTTATGATACATATCCAACAAGTGGAAAAAAATAATTATATAATGGAATTCTCGAGACATGTATACTGCTGACATACATAGATTTCTTGTCAAGTTTATATTCTATCTTCACTATATTTGCTTTTAAAAACAAGGCTTTTCCAAAAAAAAAATCATTCACGAATGAAACATCAATGAGATAAGGAATAATTCAACTGACAACCTATTTTTCTATACTAGATCACTTGTATGAAATATTATTCTCTACTCTATTGGCATCAGTGTATGTATCATTGCTATTTGTGGAAACTTTAATATTCATTCTATTTATCTTAATAGGTCATTAATGAATAAAGTCAAATGATAAAACTCTTTTTCTTCTTAGTTTTGATATATTACTTTTTGACTTGTTTATTTCAATGATCAAAAATAGATTTCGGTGATTTCAACAGTAAATTGAAACTGGAACCGTTAATTTATTAGAGAGATACAAAAGTTTTGAGTACATTTTGAGAAATTCTTACTACTTAACTATTGAGACTAATGATGCCACATATTTCAATATTAAAGGACAATCACATCATTCATGTACATTAAATCTTTTATTTCAAGGATGAAAAAATGAAGATATCGCAATTCAGTTTTCAAAAATTTTCTATATATTTGATGGTTAAATAGTTTCAGATTCTTATGAACCATCGAACTTTAGTCAAAGGCCATATTAATTCAAATATATGTATCAAATGCATAATGATGCATCTTTTAAAAGTCTAGTGATGAACTTTTGCTCTTATTGGCGTAATCTGTTCGAATATATATAAAGCTCTTCACCAGATTTTTTTTCCAATAATTTATTACACTCGTCTTTTTCTTTGTATTGCAATATTTATTTGTGTATTTATATCTATAATAAGTTATTTTTATTCATACTATTGCATATTATTTATTTCATTGTTGGATGATATGAAACTCATTTGGCATGGTTGTTATTGATATTATGTTTTATTTGTATGAGTATTGCATGACGATATTATTCTTTTCTCTATATTTTGTGATAAAAAAAAAACGCCAAATCGGATAAATTTGCTAATGTATCAATAACAGTGATTGGTCTTGAATTATTTGAATTACCTTTGTTTGAAACAAGATTTGTATTTTTCTTGCTCAATGTTTGAAAGGTTGTGTCTCCATCTAACTGTAGAAGAATGAAGGACGTCAATTGTGAAACACAACGATGACTTATTGTTTAGACCGGCTACATTTCTATAATCGTATACAAACCAACCAAGCAAAATGTATTGTACAAAATTCTAGTTTTGATACTATACATCATAAGTTCTACTAGTAGTGGCAATGTCAGGAACTTGCGGAGCCTTCCTGCCACAGAGATGGGTGTCGTTGAGATAGAGTAGGATGGGGTCAGAATAAGAGAAATGTGCAGTGAGTAGAGGTCGTTGAGCCGAATAATATTAGATCCGTACTCATACTATTCTGAATAGCCGCTATAGAGACACAAGATATTTCTTTCGCTTATTTAGATTCATCAACCCACACGTTCTACACATCTCTTATGGTCTCTTATCTGCTATGATATAAGAATAGGCTCATTCTTGACTGTTACTTTTAGAGTAACAATGGTGGAGTCGTCTTCGAAATCAGTCAACAGAAAATTTTTAGTACCGAACCCAACTAGCCTAGTAGTAGCACAGCTGGACAACTCATAGATTTTCCAACTTATACGTCAAGTCAAGTCAGACTCGACTTGACTTATCCAGTACTGAGTAGCAGGCCTTGCAGCGCTACCATACCATGTTCTACTTCGCAGCATAGGCTAGAGTTAGTGTGAGAAAAATGTAGGGTACAACCACAATGAAAAGAAACTCCATATAGTAGGGTTGATATATAGGGAAAGCTTATCCTGCACATATTTACTGAATGATGATCATATATTATTAATTTGTTTATATTTAACTTAAAAATGAATGACATAAAATTTATCTCGAATACAAGTTTTATTAAAGAGAATATAACTTAAAAAATGGTTTACTTTTTCAACTAAAATAAATCACTTTGGAGAAATCATATTTTTAAATTAAAACATAATCTTTGATAAATTGGCCTTTGCTGATAATTTAAGATAAGTTTCTTGGTGTCTTTTAATATTATCTTGACTTAGTTCTAATTCATCCATTTACTCTCGAATTTTTGCTTCATTAATAGGTAAATGATAAAGAGTTTCAAATTGAAAGTACTTCTTTTGTATAAGAGTCCATCATTTTTTGTAGAGTATCAATAACATCAATATTTCGTGCATCAGCATTATTTTTCATTTGTTCTTCCCGAATAAACTATTGAAAATATTCGACGATATCTTCATTTAATGGAAGAATAGCATTAGCAAGAAGAAATTTTGCAAGTTTTTTTTTATAGAAATCTTTGATTTATTCTTGTTCATTTTGTAAACTAGTAATATATTTATCGAATATCATTTAATAATACACTTTCATTTAGATGAGTCAGATGTGTTTGATATTCATAAGTTATATGACGATATTGTTTCTATTTCACTTTTAGATTATTTCAAGATAAAGAACGAGAAAAGTCAAATATATTGAGAAAAATTTTTCACGTTAATTAGTTTTTATTTGTTTAGTTTGAAAAAATTTTATAATTGAAGATGAAAGGGTAACTTATAAAAACATTTAGATTATCATGAAAAGAGATTCTATGCAACATTGAACATTTCATTGAGCTATATTAACTGTGAAAATAAGTATCTATTTCTAGATATGTCTCAAATATTTAGATGATTTTTTTTATATTTAATAGTTAAAAAATTTTCTGATTTTAGGCTAAGATAGAAAATATGTATCGTCTATTATGTTAATATGAAATGAACTATGATTATCATTCATTACATCATTCGATTACCTCAGAAAAGAAACGGAATGTAAGAAAAGAATATTTGAAGTGACTCCTCATATCAACGAATTCTACCTCTCATCATACTAACTTTAGTTTCTCCACACTCCATTTCCTATTCTATACATTTCTTTATAAATGTTTTCTCTTTTATAATATATTTCCTTTCTATAATTATTACCTTATGACTTCATTGTTAGATTTTTTTTCTCATAACATATTCTTTATCCAATAGATCAATTCAACAATCGACTATTATCAGATTCTCATTGGATCTTCTCAAATCCTATAAAATTTGATAGTATCCTGAAGAAATATTCTGGAAACAGGTCGATGGAATCTACTGCTATTAATATCTGCTAATTAGATGACTACTAATTAGTTGAATTTAAGAAAAAAATCTTGACGAAAACAGCAATATCTGCTGCTTATTAGATTAACGAACCAACTTGTTATGGTAAAAAAGGATAAAACACTAAAAATGACATTTCACAATCAGAATTGCTAGTTTGATTTTTACGCTCATTATCATCTTATGATTAAGTCAATATCGATGGGATCTTTTAAATTTATATTAGTGTAACTTTTTTTTGTCTTTTTTCTTTTTGCTTCATTTTGGATATTATATTCTATTAGCCTTTTTTTGGAGTCAAGCTTTTGTTGTTTTTTACGGAAGAAAATGATCGATCATATTCGAGGGTGTGGCCATGGCTTTTCTAGTTATTTACACTCACACCCCACCCACAATGATTTCAAGATCTATTTGAAACTTTCTCAAAATAGAGTAAGCTCATCCTAGCCATTAGATGAACCAACCAATCAGCTATTTCGGTTGATAGGTGGACACATGCAATGACATACTTCGTATAACTCTGTATTCCACAATATGTTTCCCTCGTTTTATCGAGATCAATCTAAGCGAAAAGATGGAGTCGACAGCGATTGATTCCTTGCTAAAATTCCTTCGTTAGTTTCAAGCTACTATAGACATCACTTTTATCGATACTTTTCTAATTATGACATTTTGTCTATCTTGGATTTTAACCAAGGACCATAGAAAACAAAGTATCATCACGGCATTGTTTCAGTTATTGATAAGAATATATTTAATCCAACACGTCTCTCTGTCATCTAGCTATACCTCATTGTGATAATGAGAAAATGAAAACATTTTCTCATTGTTGAAACAAGATAAGATATATTCACAAAGAAGCGAGGCCTTCTAATATCTTTGTCATCAGATAAAGTGCATTGTTTACTACTAAATATTTATTTGTACTGCACATCACATATATATACTCACATTTGCACTCATATACCAATAGCAATTATACCTTGTTTAATCATTTATGTGAGTTTTTCATTATAGACTACATTATCCCGCCGAAAGAATTAGGAAACAGTGATTGTTTTGACATATAGAAAGCGTAGAGTTAAACTTCCTAAAAAGATTCATATTTGTAAGAGAAAAAATGAATTAAAAAAAAGTTAATGCTTTCACACTTGTTTTTCTTTCGAAAATTATTTTCTGATGTGGAAAAATTTGTATTTTCCTTACGCCAGAAAATGTCAACTTGGTTGTTACTTGTCTGCTGAAATAGTATAGATATTTGCTAAAGAATAGAGAAGAATGAATGAAAAAGATGCCACACATATATTATGTCATGAATCATCTTCTTAACACTTTATACTGTATTTACATTCATTCTTTCGTTTTTGATCCATTTCATCTAAGTAGATAATATTGTGTTTAATTAAAGACAGAACGAACAAAAACGACGACAGCAATCACAAACATGTTTGCATCGTTCGTATTACTTGTTTTTTCATTTCTAATTTGGATTGTGATTTATCAAGCACATGGCAGAAATATTACTTTTGTTCCACAACCAATTCACCTAACCGTTGATGATCTTCCACCACCATATGCTACACCGCCGGCTTCTAAAGAGGCTCGAATCATTTCTGTACCTGAAGATCCCCTTCTCTACGTTCCCGAAGGATTCACTGTGAAGGTATATATGACTGGTCTTCTATCACCACGTTATCTTATTTATACACCTACAAATGATATCCTCGTTAGTGAACCAGATGTTAATCGAATTTCTTGTCTGGTAGATAATGATCGTGATGGTTATCCAGATGAACGTATTACATTTGCTGATGCATCTAATGGACTCAATTATCCATATAGTATGGCTTTTAACAATGGATACTTTTATGTTGGTAACAGAAATGCTACTCGACGTTATTTATGGACTTCAGGAAATCGAAATATCACTGGTACAGGCGAAATAGTGATGACTTATAGTCCAAATGGACATATTACAAGAACAGTTGTTATATCACCTAGTGGTGATCGAATATTTGTAGGAATTGGTTCAGCAACGAATGTCAATGCTGATCCATTACCTCGAGCTTCTGTTCAACAAGTAAATCTCGATGGTAGTAATCAAAAAACATTTGCTTATGGTCTAAGAAATCCTGTTGGCTTAGCATTTCATCCAATTACTAATCAATTATATGTGGCATGTCAAGAAAGAGATGAAACTGGTGATGATCTTGTTCCTGATTTTTTTACACGTATTGATGAGAATGATTTTTATGGTTGGCCATTTGCTTATATGAGTTCAAATTTAACTGATCCTAGACGATGTTTTCCTAATGGAACAAGTGAACGACCTGATTTAGTATCAATAACAAAAACACCAAATGTTCTTCTTGAAGCTCATTCAGCTGTACTTGGTATGCAATTTTATACAAATAATCAATTTCCGACTCGATATCATAATGGTGTTTTTGCAGCATTTCGTGGTTCATGGAATAGAAATAATGGAACCGGTTATAAGATTATTTTTATTCCATTTAATAGTAGCACAAATGAACCAATGGGTTACTATGAAGATTTTGTGTATGGATTTCTAACATATCCACCTGGACCTGACACATTTGGACGTCCAGTTGGATTACTTGTTCTAAAAGATGGTAGTCTTTTATTCACTGAAGATGGGAATAATCGCACCTACCAAGTACAGTACAGACAAAATCCTGTTACTACCACCATTGGCAACAGTGGTGTCAATGCTAAAACTGCCATCGTCACATTTTTTTCTTCACTCTTTTTATCTTTCTGGTATCTTGACTTTTTCGTTGCTATATTTAGTTAAATACACTAATTTATCGTGATTACACTCCTTATTTGATGATTCGAATCTTTTTCTTTCATATTTTCGCCATTGTTTTCTTTTCTCTCAGTAATTGTGTGTTATTTATCATCTTATTTCGAACTATATAAATGTGCATAAATACATTTTCCATACTTATATCAATATGATACTCTGTTCTCCTTTTATTGCATTGGTACCACTAGAGGGTGTGAGTGTGAGTGTTGGTCGAGAGATGGTCCAGAGCTTAAAGACCCACACTCACACGCAAATCATCTAAATTGTATACTGATGTTCTGTAGGCATTCGTTTTAAGATGTTCCCATAAAAAGCAATTCAATGGTGTTAAATCTGATGATCGTGAAGTCCATGATATTAGTCCGCTTCTTCCAATCTATATACTATCCAAGATTTTGTTTAGCCAGAAACAGACAGTTTGTGAAAAAAATGTGATTGACTCTATCTTTCCAATAAATGATATTTATTGTCATTGGTTCTTTCAAAGAAGCCGCCTTTTCACTCAAATTAATCGAAACTAACAAGAATCTGATAAATGTTTAAAAATATCTATAGTACAAAATTTAGATGATTTAAGGACTAGAATATCGAAAGAAAAAAAACAAAGGAACTCTACATGAGTTTTTTCGGAAACGGTAAAACGTCTAAATTTTTGTATTAATATCAAAGGCAATACTTTTGAACAATATTTATGAATCTTGTCTATCAAATAAAAAAAAAATTATAAGATAAAGCTTTATTAATAAGAGAGTTATACGCATTTCTTAAGTGATCATGAATTTTGGGACATCCTGTATCCTTGACCCATTCAATTGTATAGTTACAAAATAATTGTTCATGATCAATCATTGTTTGTAACTTTTTAAAAGTTTCATCATTCGTTTTTCTAATGTAAAAAGGTATAAAGAAAAAGAAAAGATTTATTAGATGTAGCCATTTGGCCTAAAATACATTGTTAAAACGAGTAACAAATACAAAATCATGATTGATAAAATGATACATGAAATAATATTTATATACTTATTTTCTACAAACATCACATAGTTTATATAAAGATAAAAGATGTTCAATTATTGTGTGCATTTAAAAGAAAAACTATAATCGAAAAATCTTTATCTTTTATAATATAATAGAAAGTAATTTTGTATTGTGAAAGATATCATTAAAGAAATGTTTAGACATTAAAATATTGATTTTATTTCGAGAAAAAAAAATCGTATAAGAAATATTATTTTTTATGTATTAATTGACTTTAATAAATCTTTTTACAATTTATACAAAAATATTCAGATATCTAGAGAAAATGACTTTAATTCTTTATGAGTTTCATGCAGTTAAATGCTCTTGTTCACATGCTTCATTATCTTTTCGCGAGGAGGAGTGCACATCGGGATAAGATGATAGTACTGGGATATTCTCATTCACTTGATTAATGTCAATAATAATCTAGAAGAATATAAAGAAAAAATCTTACAACAAATCTTAGCAATTTACCAATCTGACTTACATGAAACTTCGGGAATCGATCACTATTTGTTGTAAAACACGTTGGCTCATCTTTCTTCATTATCAGATGCCATTGACAGTGTTGTGCTTCATATTTTTTCGACTCTATTTCAATGGCTCTCTCCTATGATTGAACGCTTTTCCCTTGTTGTCGACAACAATAACGACAAAGACAACAACACGTCACTCCAATTAAAATACAAACAGTGCCGACGCCAATCATAGCTAAAGCTGGTTCTCCAGGTACATTTTTGCTACTCTTTAGTTCTGTAAAACCGTGAATCAGCGCAAGAATGCCCAATACTAGGAAGGCTAACATAAGAGCGATTGAGATTATTATAAAATAACAACAACAACCATGTGACTTTGGAAAGTAGTTGTTGATATTTTTGATTGACTGATGAAAGTCAGTTGGACTAATGAGACTTTGTAGTTTTGATGGATAAGTAGTATCGAAACCACAGTCTGGACATAAGGAACAGTTACAAACTAGAAAGTAGGATAAATAAGTGAAAGAACAGAATTGACAAGTAAAGAAATGAGTCACACTCTTACATTGTTGCAATGGAATATCGACTGAATTTGGACTGGACTTGTTGTTGACAGTCAATCTGAACATTTTGAGTGTTAGATTCTCTGATAGTTCTCTCGGAAAAAATGAAGATTATCTTTTTCTGCTTCTACATGTTGTCGTGTTTTTTCTGCATTTTTCTTCTAATAGACAGAAAACAAAAAATACTACTACACTATAATAACAAGAATTTTTTTTCAGATCAATAACACTCTAGCCTAATTGTCATAGAAGAATGAAAAAAAACTATTGGCTAATCTATTTTTATCAATGAGGGCAAGAGAACGAAAGATGGCGTACATTATTGTTATAGAGATAGATCAAAATATTAATATTTCAACAAGAGATAATTTGATTATATACGTGATTGACTTCTTGAATATATATGATGTTGTCTATTAGACGACATGTTAATTCGATTTCTATGATTCATCCCCGATGCGCAATAGCCTCAAACATTTGTACGGATACTTTTGTATCGTGGGTTAATGATGATAGATCATTTTGAAATATTTTCAATAGCAAAAATAACACTAAATACATAAAATCATCGTTTCAAATTTAAACGGAACTGCTATTCTTTACAGAAAATTTGTATTTTTAATTAATCTTATTGTTTTTTGACGTAAAAGAAAAACAACATCATCAAGAAAAATCGTGATTCTTTCGATAAATTAATCAAATCGAAGAAAAAATATATACATAACCTTATTAAAAGTCTGGTCTCCTAAAAAATAATATATTATATATTCCTTTAATGTCGTCTGTTCGAAAAACAAGTTTCCAATTGTGATATTGTGAAAACAATTGTGAAATAGATTTGAATAACATAGAACCAAAAAAACTAAACCAAACAAAGGACACCTCGGAATAAGTCCGTAAATTTCTACCATCTCCTAGCTTCCACTCTCAATAGACTAGAAAGATTGAGCATGAAATTCTGCACATTTCTGTCTCTTTATTTTTGTTTTTGTTGAATGTAAAAAAAATTTGTCAAGGACTAAATAGTCTCAAGGAATCTATCACTTTTGAGCATTTTGAGTCATAAATATGGTTAAAAAATATTTTTTTCTTTTGCAAACCCAATATGGAAACTAATAACGTAGATCAACGCAGTTTTTAATGTTCCACAAAATGATATAGTAGTCATGTTTATCTTTAATCTCTCTCTCAGATTATACAGGGTCAAACAGGTGCAATCGATACAACCGATGTAGTGAAAATCGAATTAAAAACCAGCGGTTTACCGCGATTTTATCAGTCTGGTCACCGGCTCTCATTACTGCAATGAATCGCCATAAGCCGCTATAGGTGTGGGTCTCCTCCTAACCAACACCCTGGGTGGAATGGGGTTTGAGGTTTCCCTTCGCCAACATCTGCACCCACACTCGCATTGAGCTCGAACGCACTTGTACTTTACTTCCACAGTTTGTGTTTCTGTTAGATTTTTTTATATCAGTTTTACGGTTTTTTCTTTCTTTCTGTCGAATAGAAATTAAAGCATTTGTAAGTTCAAGATTAACAATCCATTACAAGTAAACCAATGTCAGCACGAAAAGCGTATATATATATATATATATAAGCATTGAGTGAACCAAAATAAGAAACAATAAGATAAACGTTCAACTCACTACGTCTCTTTAAAAATGATCAAATCTCTAAGACTAAGCAAGTGTATTTTAGTACTTTAAAAACTAGTACAATCTCTTTTAATCATTGTTCTTAATTAAATCTGATGCTCTCTCGGCTATTGCAATTGTTGGAATATTTGTACTGCCCGAAATAGTGTTTGGCATAATACTTGCATCAACCACACGTAGACCTCTTACACCTTTTACTCGTGTATCAGACGTTACAACTGCCATGGAATCTTCTTCTTTTCCCATTTTACATGTGCCAATTGGATGACAGATTGTAATTGTATACTTTCGGACGTACGATTCCCAAAACACATCTTCATTTTCTGTTGCTTCATCTCCATTCATTTCTTTTGCCATTGACTTCAGTGTACTATTCAGTGGTTCAGTCTGAAAAATTTTTTCAACTAGTTTACATGCTTCAACCAGTTTACGAACATCTTCTTTGTCCTCCAAATAATTTGGATTGATAATTGGATGTGCAAGAGGATCACAGCTTGCAAGTGTAATTTCACCCTTTGATTCGGGATGTAGAAGTGTGGGCAAGTGCAAAATAGTCCATTGTGATTCATCAGTTAGATGTGGTTTCAAATATTGCTCATAAACTTCCGGTTTGAAATTAGAGATTCGAAAAAATTCAGCATCAGCTGTAAACGGGCTGAACTGCATTTGGATATCAGGTACTTGTGTTTTATCTAGAAGAATAGATAATTAAAGATGACAATGTAAACTAATAGAAAAAACATTGAATCTATACTCGAATTATCATTTCCATTCAATTGACACCACGCTAGTGATTCACCACCAGATGAAGTTAAAGGACCTTTTCCTTGAGTTGCCCATTTTTGTAAGTTTTCAGGTGTCAAATCACGAGTTGAAAGTGTTGGTATGTGAGTCAAATAGACTAGAATAGTCATCATATGATCTTGTAAGTTTTTACCAACACCAGGCAAATCAACGATCATGGGTATTTGATGTTTCTGTAATTCTTCTCGAGGACCAATTCCAGAGAGAAGAAGTATTTGAGCACTTCCAACTGTACCAGCTGATAGTATGACTTCTTTACCTTTGATAAATTCCTCTTTGTCTAATGAGCTAGTACGTTTAACAATAACACCTAAAAATATGAAGAACGTTTCGTTCAAAATCACATATCCAACAGAAACAAAAGTAGATGAAAACTTCTGAAAAGTAAATTTCCTGTCACTTTTCAAAACATCATTTACATTGGACATCATTAAAAAAGATCGCGACATTTTTGCTAGGTTGACATGTGAAAATTAACAAGAAAGACATTGAATTTCTGTCGAATTCACATTATTTTGCCGGTCCTATTGCCGCTGTGTGTCTTAGACGAAATTTTGCTAACAAAGACAAAAACACGACAAAAACTACTTTCGAGCAAATTTGTGTCCTCTATCTTGAAAATTTTTACAGAATAGGATGAAAAGAACTCGTAAAAAAAAATTTTCTACAGTCTCAATCAAAACTATTTTACAAACAAATACTTTTAATTTGACACTCACCAGATACTTGTTTTTGCTCATCAAATGCTACTCGGCAAGTATGTGCATGTATTAGCAAGTCAAAATTTTCTCTTTTTACTGCTGTCAGGAGATAACCACTTGCTGTTGACCAACGTTTTCCTTCTTTTGCTGAAATTTGTGACATTGATACACATCCATTCAGACTTCCTTCAGCATTGTAATCTTTAGTTTCATGAAATCCATTCTTCTCACATGCTTCAATAAACAATCGATTCGTTGAATTTGGTTCTTCAAGTATTGTTACATCCATCATTCCGTTATCTTGATCATGATTACGGAAATGCTGATTCCTTGGAATTGCGTTCGGATCAGCACGTTCCAATTTTTTAAAATATTTTAACATTTCTTGAAATGACCACTGTGGTAATTGCCAATTATCATAATCGTGCGGATCACCACGAACATATTGCAGATAATTTATGGAAGAACTACCGCCTAAAACTTTACCACGTGGCCAATTACTTTGCTGATTGACACAACCAAAATGTGAATATAGTTGAGGTGTAGTTTTATATTGCCAATCAATTTCACCAAGCTGACAGCTACCACTAGAACACAAAGAAAATGGCATACTTTAGTCTGTGAGTGACAAAATGTCCCTAATCTAAGAAAACACAGTAAGATTTTCCATGAGTTTTCTGACTTTATTTCTTAGAAATTTTGTTTTTTTATTTTATAAAGAGAAATGAAGACTTTCGTTCAAACTTCTTTTCTTCTGTGTTCACAACCAGTTGTACGACAATATTTTATATAAAGTTCGAAAATCATGGTTTTTTGACAGAAATTGCAATAGTACTTGTGAAAAGATCATTTTTCTATCGAATAATCTCTCCTATAAGATACGTAAACCTTTAAGATTAGTCGTCTTTTATTAAAACTGATTACACTATGTGTAATACTCTGATCATTTCAACCTGATCGAGCTCTCACTCACCAAGCAGCTGGCATTTGTATTTGGTCCTTTGTATCGACGCCACCAGCTTCAATAAGAAGAACACGCTTATCACTTTGTTCTGAGAGACGATTAGCTACGACAGCACCAGCTGAGCCTGAGCCAACAATAATGTAATCATATGTGATGCCATTAGTTTTTGTCTGCGAAAAATCTCGTTTCCATCGTTCTATAATAGCTGGTGATTCACTGACAACTGATGCAGTAGCTTGCTCAGCAATGCTTGTATTCGACATGTTTTGTACGCAGAAAAGATATAGACTAAATAAAATGTAAAAAAGACAAATACGATATTACATGCGAAACCGTCCTTTCTTCTGATAGTGCACTATATATCTAGAGAGCAAAGATAAGAAAAATAATAACATAAAGAAAAAGGTATTTATTTCTATTTTGATGTAAGTAGAATATTAAATACACTCATATATTTTATTATGAAAGAAGGTCTGTACGATCCTCAGTCAATATTCACAGAATATTGTCAATTTTGAAAAAACTTTTTAACAATATATTTGCTTCACTCACAAGGTGCGCGAAAATAGACATAAACAAGAAAAAATACAATAAAAAAGAGTGTCAGTATACTACTAACTATTCTTTCTTTCCTAGGAAGACAACACACGTTACCTCTGTACGAATATTTTGATACTCATTTAAGTGAAGCAAACGAAATCGGTCAATCAGAAGATACATACATGCATATATTAGCTAAGATCTTATACACACTTAAGAATTAAATTACCAATTGAAGCATAGCGGAAAAATTACGCTTCGCACCACCCTCTCATTCCGAACTCCGGACATGACTAAAAACACAGGATGTTCAGAACGGAGTTCGTAAATAAAATACAACAAAAAAACAGGATGTTCGGAATGAAGTCTTTACAGAAGTTCGGAAAGAGTTCTGATAAT